GCTGTGTGGTAGAAGTGTAACCATTTTGTTGAGTAGTGTCGCATATCCTGGAATTTGGAGATGCATCCTCATCTCCCTCACGGATGCCACAACTTCTGCGGGACATGGGATGTGCCTCCAAATTTCGGGAGATGTGACAGTGTTCGAAAACTTGAAAGTCTTTAAAATGCACTGATATACGGTTCGTTCAACATATTTTTTTACGGCGAGTCGAGTATGAAACCTATTTTATGACTGCCATGTTGTTGAAGCAAGCAAATCGCGCTTTAATTAAAAATCACTATAAAAACGTTTTAAGCCAGACGAACGAAGTTTTCTTTGTCCAAAACCAAGTAAGTTATTCAAAAAGGGTATGTCTCGTCAATATATTATAGTATCTGATTTGAAAATCTGAAGTGGTCGTATATTTAATGTTGTCTATTTCTGCACACAATGGAACTTATCACGAATAGGCATTATTTCAGAAAAACACTCACGCGAAGAAACGGAGTTGCTTCGAACTTTTTCAAACCTTTCATCAGGTTCGTCATCAAACTTGCATCAAGACTTCTCAGTACTTCAATCAAGAAAAGGTTCTTCATTATCTAATTAATGAGTTTTCCTCAAATCTTTAGAAACTTCTTCGTAGTTGACCTTTTCTCTTCAGATAATCACTTATTATCATTCTAATCGATTCAACATCATAACTACTTGATAGACGATGACTTCAACAGTGGACATAAATCTTCATCCTCATGCAACTGGAGAAGCAGAAAAAACAGTCAACGCTCATTCTGGCAAGCACGAACTTGTATTTTACTCTGCATGGTTTTGTCCATTTGTACAGCGAACATGGTTGGCTTTGGAAGAAAAAGAACTGTCATACGAATATCGAGAAGTGAATCCGTACAAAAAGGAAAAGGAGTTTCTGGAGATTAATCCCCTCGGTCTGGCTCCTGCTATCGTATACCGTGGAAAGCCCTTATATGAATCATTAGTCCTTAATGAGTTTCTGGAGGATGAGTTTCCGAATTCGAAGCCACTTTTACCGAAAGACAGTTTCGAACGTGCACGTATCCGATTGTGGATCGACCATTTGACGAAAAAGGTTACGTCTGCATTCTATCGAACTATGCAAACTCAAGAAGAGGACAAACAAAAGGAAGCTCTAGGTGAGTTCGTTGACGCTCTCAAAAAATATCTCGACCAAGTCAAAGGGCCTTGGTTTTCGGGTGAGGAGTTTTCGTTGGCGGATATCACTGTGGCTCCTTGGATTGTTCGTATTCACATCCTCGAAGAGTATCGAGGATTCACAGATGAACTTGTTGGCGGGCGTTGGTCGGAATACAAAAGACTCATCAAAGGACGACCATGTGTGGTTAAAACGTCGTCAGAACCTCAGCGGTATGTGGAAGTTTATCAGCGTTACCTGAAAAACGAAACTCAATCTGAAGTTGCAAAGGCAACACGAGCGGGAAAAGCATTACCATAGACACTCTTTTTTTATGTACTTCTATCTAGTAGATGATCTATAATATTTTGATTTTCTTATAAAAATTATCACACATAATAAACTGGAAACCGTTTTCTTATTTTTTCGAAATCAATCAATGCTTTAATAAATGCTGTCATAATCAAGACCCACTTAGCAAAATGTAAACTTCAATTTTCAGTGTTTAAATTATAATCAAATGGCTGTTTGTTCAGAAAGTCTTATTGAAAAGTTTATCGAGAAGTATTTCACTGCAAAACAGTTTGTCGAAAAAAATTATACTGGAGTTTTTTCGGACAAAATGCTTTAATGAAAAAATTGATAGCTGATACTATTTCTTCACTAACGTTTCGCCGAAAAACTAGGTTTCAAGCTGTGTATACGACCTAGTTTCGAGCGCTGAACACGTAATTAAAGCCAATTTTTTCTATTGCCAAGGAATTTATATGACTTTTAGAGTGTTCCTGTTAAATTGACCCTCGAGTTTTTTTTTATCTGAAATAATTTCATGTCAAAAGATATGTCTGGACAAGATCTATGTTTGGTTAAAAAGAAGAGCTGTATTACCATTTGTGGCATGGAAGAAAATACGCTATATGTTAATCACTCAAATATGATGAATCTATAGCATAACCTGTCTTCTGTTTAATGAAACGCTTGCGACCTCAATGATCAAGCCGTTTGTGAGATAATGTCAAAATACTGACGACATAGTTTTTAGCGGTTTTTTTAGGGTACGAAATGACCTTTTTATACTCGTTTCAGTTCGTGCTTTTCACAAGTAAAAGCAAATGACATAACGTTTTGTATTTGACTATGGTTTGGCAAGACATGTCATCTGAAACATTTAAATGAAAAATCAAAACATTTTCTTCGATAGTCTAGGGGAATTGTGTAGCGGATCTTCTCTTAACTATCTGCTTGAACTAAATTATCAAGTTCTACTTTGCGCATAAAAAATCTGTATGCACGCATAGTTGATAAATTTGTTCGGTAAGATCTATATTTTAATCTCTGTTTACAAGAAAATGTACAAATCTTAGAATTATAATTAGATTCAAAGGTGTTTTTAACTGAATAAAATAGATTATTATCTTTCATCCAATTATCGTACATGGAGCGATGGTAACGAAAACTGTAATAAAGTGATAATATTATTTTGAGCAGTTTTAATTCTCTTTATTAATATGATGATCATCGACAACAATGAAACAGCAAATCCACGTCATTTTGTTGTAAATTGATAAGTATTGCCAATAAAAGAAAAGTTTCAATATAAAAAAAAACCAGCAAATAACAATATATTATTCTTAAAATATTCAAATTCAAGCATAAAAACAGTTTCTCTGATCTTTTACTATTATATAACTAAAAGTATAAAAAATAATAATTTTTTTCGATTGCATAACAATAACAGAGAATGAATTGGTATTTATAGTTTATTGCTTGATCAGAAACTTTTCTTTTGATGCTGAAAAAAGAGCACCGAAAAAATACTTACAGATTATTAAATAAACTTTAACATCACTTCTTTCCTCTGTTTTCTATGTATAAGTATTAATGGATTTATCAATAATGAACATATGGTGAGTTCGTATATCTTTAGAACCATCTGGGGTGTGAGTGTGGATAAAGAGATGATGCAAATCCACACCCACAACCTCGAGAATAAAGCGTGAATTTTTGTTTTTTTGAATGATATCGTTACGCATACCGTTCGGCTATTTGGTGTAATCATTCTGTAAATTTTAAATTGATATACTGGTGAATGAAAACATTGTAAAGAAAATATTCTTTGAAAAGAACATTCAGGTTTAACGGGCTAAAATAGTCTAACAACATCTGCATATCCTAAAACTTTTTGGAATATTACGTAAATGTAGACGTGGTTGAAAAGAAGACTCACATTCCCATACGCATGTACCCGCTAATCATTCGATCATCATTTTGTTTTACGCATGCAGTGACATACAAACAAGGCGATGAAGCATACTTAACTTATGTGTTTTCGTACATCTTGTTTCTCTAGATAATTTCTCAACTGACCTTTGATCGAAAACATGGTGAGAAATTTGTCAATGAACGAGATCAGGCCATCTCGAAGTAGTTCGATGGGGATGAAATGAACTCAAAGTAGCTAGATCTTAAGATCTTATCTGCTTGTACTCCTAGAGTAGTTACTAATAATTGCTATTAAACTAGAAAAATTGTAGTTATTCGGTTTTTTAGGAAACAAAACTGGTGTACTAAATGGTAGATTCGAACCTTCGCTGAAAAAAATGTATTGCAACGAGTACTTCGTGTCCTAAAACACGACACACACGACATATTTTCTATTAACGTTAATGCCGACTTTTTGTGATTATATTATGACAAAAAAAAATTGACAAAGAAAAACTGTTGATTTATTCTACTTTTTTTGTTTTGAGTGTGAATCTTTTCATAATCATTTGATAGATCCTAATGCGAACTATCGATTGGTATACAATACCGGATGGATCTATGCGTTTTAATCAACAAAAACTTCTATACCACCATTTAAACATATGCATAGCAATACTCAACATAGAGCTTTTTTCACTATTTGAGAAAGTGACGTACCTTTTCACTTTTTCTTCATGAATTTCTTAGCATCATTTGTTAGATCTTGTTCAGATTTAACGATTGATATCAAATCTGAAGAGCACTAAATGATATTGTTCACAAGAGTTCATTAGCCGTATACGACATGAATCATAGCTGAAACGGTCTAATTTTATATAGAGAGCGACTGAATAGATGAGCCAATGAGTTGAGTATTTTCTCACACAAAACAATCTACGACCTAATTTTGAAGATATAAAACATGGATAAATCTCAATTAGCTGACTCATTTTGTATACAATAAATAATTCCATTAAAAAGTCTAATGCTATCAATTATAGACTTCTGAAAATCAGAATGACAAAACAAGTAATATAAATTAGATTTTATGAGACGGTTACGGGTGATTTTACTTCATAACATCACCGCCTTTTGTAGACTTTGTTGTTCATTACAACTGTAAGGATAGCTACTTGTACGATCTGATATTTAAAATTGTTTAGCTAACTTTTAGCTGAGTTTGTGATATTTTTTTAGGCATAAATATTTGTTCCTATATATTTGCAATAAAGAAAATGATTTCAACGTCAAGGACGTTAATGCTGATCAATAGCAATCTTTCTATTTTTGCTGTAACACAATAACTTTCGTTGTGATTATGTTTATTCTAGAATTTAAATACGTCAGTATGATTTTTTTTCATATTTGAAAAAACTCTCAGTAAGTTTCTATGGATGCAGATACAGTAACATATCGACATATGGAAAAAACATTTTGAATCAAGATGATACCTCTTACGTTGTTATGTAAAGTTAAAGCCTTAGAAGAACACTTTTTCATAATTTTTTTCAAACACTGAATCATTTAAAAAAAAGGAAATTGAGTCCTATATAAACAAGACAACAACATATAGCAACAATCATCATTCAAATTACAAATCATCACGATGCAATTAAAACTAGTATTGGTATCGATATTCTTCGTGTAAGTTTTTTTTTCTTGTTTTCGATATTTTACACAAAAAATTTCTTGTTATCTGTAGATATTCTTCCTGGTGTATCGTAGGTAAGCATCGAACAGTCGATAGAAAATAAACTTTTTCAACATCATTATTTTCAGGACTAAATACTTACACTCCATCATCGGCTGGCTGTGGATGTTGTCCATTACCAAAATGTGATGTCAAACCATTCTCATGTTCATCAAATATAGATTGTGAATGTTTACAAATGACAGTGACCGGTGGTGGTATTTGTGCTAATATAGTCATATCTTGTTCGGCTTTAACTCAATGTGAAGCTGATAATCAAACATGTTCAGTACCTAATACAATTTGTGTCAATAATACACGTTGTGATGTACCAGTTTGTTATCCAATCGCATTAGCTACACCAAAAATGTGTCCACCATTAACTTCAGGAAATGCCAGTACTAGTCTTCCAAGTAAATACAATTTTTATTATAAATTAATCTGTAACTTTTCATTCATTACAATTTGTCTATGATCTTTCCGTATACAGTGATGATACTAAAACTTCTTCTAAATAATGTTTATATTTTTCTTCATACAAAAATCAACCATTATGAATGATATGATTCATCCTTTTATTTTCAGCAACAACAATAAAGATACATACAACAACAACAGAGAGACTACCACCAACAACAACAGAGATGCATACAACATCAGAGGTGCGGTCAACAACTGAGATGCATACAACAGCAGAGATGCGTACAACAACTGAGATGCATACAACAACAACAGAGAGACTACCACCACCAACAACAGAGATGCATACAACAGCAGCGATACATACAACAGCCACAGAAAGACCAACAACAACGATGATCACCATAAATGCTTGTTCTAATGGAACTCGATGCTTGAATAATGTAAGATAATGACTACATATTATTTTATCAGAAATTCAAAGCATTACTTTAATATTCTAAAATCAATAGGGAACATGTCAACCATCTGGAAATAGCTTCTTCTGTTTATGTCCTGGATCATACTATGGTTCTAACTGTCAATACGTAGGATCATCAACTAGTCTTAGTGTCGTTGACGGAATTATTAATGGTTCAAACATAACTTATGAACGCACAGTAGAAAATGTTCTAAATCGAAACAATTGGACTAACATTGCTGCTGTCGTTGATGTTACTGGTTCAATGTTATCCTGTGCAGCTGCTGTTTATAAATGGGTGATATTGTCATATGAACGCGTTAATAAAATTAAATATTATGTCTTCTTTAACGACGGTGATGATAAGCCTCAAGCAAATAAGACTATTGGTTCTACCGGAGGTCTTTATGGTATTGATGCTTCCAATTTGAATACAGTGTTAAATACTATGAAAACAGCAATGAAAAATGGTAATGGTGGTGATATACCTGAAAATGATATTGAAGCATTACTATATGGTATTAAAAAATGTCCGACTTGTTCAAATATTATTCATATAGCTGATAATCAAGCAACACCACGAGATATGATTCTATTGAAAAATGTAACTAAACCAGTCAAAGTTATTGTTTGTCAGTTGAATGGAAATGCTTTAAATACGAATCTGATGAATATTGCTTCTAATACAGGCGGTTCAATTCATACACTCGAACAAGATATATTAAACTTATCAGATATTCCAATCAATGGTATAATTACTATTGGAACTCGAACTTATAGAAAAACGGCAACAGGTTATGTTCTCGTTTAAAATTGAAAAGAACTTTTAATGTTTAAAAATAATCATGGATGTTATAAGAGTGATATATACAATTTATATTTAACATAACTATGTTCATTTTACCTATCGCATCTTTTGATTGAAAATAAAAACTTCATTTATTTAGATAACATTATGAAACTAATAATTTCTGTATTAATTCTTCTATCATTATTCAAATAAAAGTCGTTCAAAAGAAAAACATTCTCGATATTGTTTTATTCTAATTAACACTCTGAACATATGACTATAAAAAGTATCATCATAGTTGATAATTATAAGTACTCTGTTTGAATGAGTTATTGGAAAAAATACTTTGATAAAACAGAAATCTAGAAATTGATAGTGCATCTTACAAAAATGTCCAATGTTGACAAAGGATTTACAGCAAAATATACCATTTTACACAAAAACGTTCGATTTTTTCGTCACTCTATTTGACAGCACTTTTAGCGTGCTGAAACTCATTCAAATTCAAACTATGAGCCTCGAAAAGGTCGGCTCATTGTCCTGAAACAAGAAGTCCAATAAAAATGTTGCAGTCATATTTACAAAGAACACAAAATTTTGATTCTCACCTAATGTTTTCAAATTTCTATAGGCTTCTTTATGAGATCGAAAAATGAACGAACATGTTAGCAAATTACTTTTCGATAACTCATTAGTAAAACACATAATGTTTCATAATATAAATGTAATATTATATTCAAATATTTTTTTTTGATTTCACTAAGCAAACATAATTTTGACTGTTGTCAACACTTGGGATTCAATGGTGTCAATATTTTTAAAAAACGCAATATATATTATTAATCACAGATGTTTTAAATAAACTCGAAGAGTTTATAGTCATTTATTTGGTCTTTATAGAAACACACGATAGATGACGCTGTTGGCAATTATTGATATGTTACAATAATTACATAATATTATAAGATATTTTAAAATGAAATAAATACATTCATCTTTGTTTTTTCTTATATAGTACAAAAATAAAAATTTACTGCAAAAGAATATTGAATTACTGTGTCTTACTCTCTTGTTCTTCTATTTCATTTTGTGCTAGTCAGCTGCTTTCAATGAGTCATAATCTGGCATACACTCGATATGTTTGTCAATATTAGATCCATGTGCTATTTTTTTCGTCATTTTTGATATCATATACTACAGATGTGTTAATGTCCGTATTAACACATTTGAATAAAAATGTTTCTCAATTGCCTTTTTTCTGTTCATCGAATTCTCTTGTATTTTATCTTGGTAAGATAAGAATCATAGTCTGTAAATTTACTTTTTTTTTCTTAGATGATTCCACCAGTTTTTCTCAAGTGCTAACACTCTATAACCCATATGAATTTTCTGTTCGTTACAAAGGTTATTATGATGTTCTTTTTTTTCTGTTATCAAATATTAAAAAACGTTATCTTTTATCTTTTTGTTGTTGTTGTTAGTGTTATGCACAGCTTCACGAACCTATTCTATTGCAGAACCACAAGGAGAAATTCATCCACAACATTCAGTTGATATGTAAAAGAAAAAAAAAGATTAGATAAAACTATTTATTTTTAATTTTTAATCATTAGAATTGTACGCCTTCTTGATACATCATCAAATGAAAATGTTGTACATAAAATTCGTATACAATATTTCGATCGTCAAAAACCACAAGATCTTATAGGCAAAAGAGATATTACATGTACGATATTATCTTATAAACCATTAGAACAAAATTTTGATGATGAAATTAATAATTCATCTAGTCGAATAAGAACAACAACAACAACAAAACTTACACAACAAGAAACACGTAAATGAGTAAAATTAAATTATTTTTAATGATAACCTTGTTTTTCCTATAGGAGATCCATTAGTTATTTTGATTTTAATTATTCTGGGTGTTATATGTGCTTTAATACTCATTTTACCAGCAATATCTGATAATGAAAGTAGCTTAAAAATATATTTACCATCTTATTTACATATGACAACTAATTCAAAAGTTGTTGCTAGCTATATTCTTGGTAAATTATTTTACATTAATTTATTTTGATAAGTATAGTTTTGAGTTTTTTATTTTTTTTTAGGCATTTTAACTGTAGTCTTCATTCGACGATAATGATAAACAGTTTTGTTCACACTGATTTTTTTTTGTATATATCTTTTTTCTTGTTTTTGTGTGTGTTATATTCGGTGCTAACACAAATATTTTTTGTCATTCTTTCTTAAATAGAAGATTTCTTCTTATTTAACTCTAGAAAACAAAAAAAAAATGCTTCCATCAAGAGGTTCAACTCAAAAGAAAACTGTTGAGGCAACATTTTCACAAAGAGTATGTTGAGTAATTGTTTTTGTTTGAACAATGATGTATATTCGTTTTTTTTCTAGACTGGTATGGTTTATATCTTTAATATTATTGTTGGTACTGGTGCATTAGCTCTTCCGAAAGCTTTTCATGAAGGTGGTTATGTATTAAGTACTTTGTTATTATTAATACTTGGATTTTTTAGGTAAAAGTTTTTTCAACAAAAAAATTTTTATAATTTTGATGAGATTTTGTGTTCTAGTTATGTTACGGCGACATATATGATTGAAGCAATGGCTATTGCAAACTTTATGAAAAGAAAAATAGTAAATCGCGTATGTTTAATTTACTTATTTGATTTCAATGTGATCGTATGAATTTTTATTTAGCGTCTTGATACAATTATATCAACAACAAGCGATGAAGAAGAAAATATTGATGGATCAGATCAAGCTTCGTTGTTACCTAGAGCCATCAATGATGATGGTAAATATTTCACATTACTATTATGATTAATTATTGCTTATATTTGATATAGATGTATATGTTTCAACAGGAACTGAAGAACGACATGATTTTGATATTGTCGAAAAAGTTGAAATGGTCAGTGAGAGCAGATGTGAAGTTTACTGTCTTTTTACATTTAAGAGAAAAAAATATAATATTTATTTCATTAGAATAGAAAAAAAGAAAAGAAACGGTTCTGTTTGAAAATTTAAAACAGCGACTTTTTTTACGATAGATTATGCATAGAATGAGATAGGAATGTATAGTTTTTTACATTAGAAAGAGAAAAACATGAAAGATTTTTCGAGGTGAAATCTAAAAGGTCAAACACTGTGTACTTTATGATAAACTCTCGAAAATTATCAGATGTTTCAGAGGTTCTTCGTATGAAGGATACTATTCGAATAGAATTTTGAATGTTTATAACACAGTTCATTCTGTATACATCTCTGTGCAGACAAATTAATTTTTTTTATGTAAAAGATACATCAGTAAATTATTTAAAGTAACTATCGAAAAAATTCTTTTGACTAGTTTCAATGAATTTTTAGAAAAATAGCTAATTTCAGTTATATGAAAGTAACAAAAAGGTACAATACGATGTGTTTATACACTATAATAACTAATAGATCAAACGATGTTGCAAAGATAAGTTCATTATTGAAACTCAGTTAATGCTCCTTGAGACAGACAAAGTGATGCTTGTAATATTCAAAAATTGTCAGTAAAAACAAAAAAATAAGCAAAAGATGATTAGTCATTTGACAAAGAAGTTCATTGTATTCAAAAATTTCTTTCAAAAATCGATTTTCTTAAATCAACGAGACCTTTTACTTTGTACAGAAATTAGCTATGCATTTGTTGGGCAAAAAAACTCAAATTTTCTTTGTTTCATCAGTACAAATCAACAGAATTTTTCCTAGAACTCGTGTAGATAATTCAATGGTGTATCTTTTGTAAAAACAAATTAAGAATTTATCATTTGTTTACGAGTATCTGTAAAATTGCAAATACTATCAAAACTGCAAAAAAGAAATAGAATTCAAAATGGATATCATACGAACACTTGGGCTATTACAAGTTAGGATTCACAAAATCCTAAACTCACAGCTCCCTAATTGCTTGATTTCGTTTATACAATTTTGCTTAAACGAGATAGTTTACAATTAAATATCAAGATAGCCAAAGGTTACTTTTTGGTACGCGTTAAAAGAACTGCGAACTATACCCGACATTCATGATTATTTTGATTTTAATTCTGAAAGATAATGAGAGTCATTTTGATATTTATCTGTAAAATCTCTTGTTTAAGGTGTGTATATTTGAATATAATAATTTCCTCATTATAATCAAAAAATAAATTAGTTTCTCATAGGAAAATCTTTCTATTTCTTTTTGAACTACTTTAGGGTGAAATGGCAGATATGTTTTTGAATAAATGTAAGTTTATTTCATCTATTGATTTATTTTCATTGCTGGGTTTTATCGTAGTGGGCTTAGTGATATTTTATTTTTGTATATCATTGTACCTCTTCGGAGATTTGGCAATTTATGGTTCAGCTGTACCAAAATCAATTCGTGATGTTATTTGGTTTGTTGTCCTAAATCAATCGGTTTTTTTTTTGAAGTAAAAGCCTATTTTTATATTTCAGCACATATGAACCAATTAATTGTACAAATATCACGATAAATGATTTATGTTGGGCAAGTTCTTCATTAACACGGCATCATGTTTATCAAATATTTGTAGTAAGATATTTAAGATAAAAGAATCAAGATACATTTCTTATAGTACATATTTAGGCAACATTTTTTTGTACATTGGGTATATTTGTTTTTGGTAATGCACAAAAGACAAAATTTCTTCAGATAGTAACAACTCTATGTCGTTGGACAGGTAATTAATAATTTGAATTATTTGATTTTTTTTCTTTCGTATCAAGCTACCAAAAACATTCTTTCAACTCAATTATTATAGAGAAATCATAAAATATTTGCTGTGAAACTCAGATAATATTTTTTTTTCCAAGAACTATATAGTAATTGTAAATTTTAAATTGAAGTTTTACGGTTCTTCCTCATAGTAATGAAGCAGAGGAGGAAATACCAAGAGTTATTGGATTCGCCTCCATAGCAGTCGAAGATAACAGACATCAGAATCAATTGCTAGAGTTCGTTAGCAATGGAAAAAGCACTGAATAGCTAGAATACATTTGTCAATGTTCTAAATACTATAATTGTAACACTATAAATGTTAAATTACGAAGAACCGAATATGAAAATGCATAGCGACAAGGCAAAAACAAAAACAAAAAATCTGTTCGAAATGAAGAAATAAATAAGACCGATTGTTTCCATGCTGCACTAACAAGCTTTTATTCATCATTATTTTTAGCTTTTCTCTCCATGATTATTCTATGTATTGTTCATCTTGCCAAACGATCAAGTAGTGAACATCCAAATCCAATTCATCCACCTGTATTTCATTTTCGTAGTCTTCCACGACTTTTTGGTATTTGTGTATACAGTTTTGTATGTATCCTTTGTATTATTTGTTTTGTTTTTTGTTAATTTCGATTATTTAAGATGTGTCATCATTCAATTCCAAGTATAATAGCACCAATACGTTCAAAAGATAAACTTAAATCTTTATTTGCATATGATTATATATGTATAGCATTATTTTATTTATTATTATCTTTAACAGCTATATTTACATTTGACACATTTGAAGATCTTTATACATTAAATTTTCGTCCAACAACACGATGTGCTCATTCAAACGTTGATGTACCGAAAGTATTAGCTTATTTTATAGCATTATTTCCTGTATTTACATTAAGTTCAAGTTTTCCAATAATTGGTATTACATTAAGAAATAATCTTGAAACTGTATTAAAATCATGTGTAAATGTTAAACGAAAACAACGTATTGTACTTGTTGTATTTGTTCTTTTATTACCTTGTACAGTTAGTATACTAATAGAAAATATTAATTTTCTTGTTGGTTTTACTGGTTCATATGCTGGTGTAGCTGTACAATATGTTATACCAGCATTATTAGTTTATAATGCACGACGTCAAGCACAAGTTAAACATCGTCAACCAATACATTTTGTTAATCAATCATTTTTTCAAAATAAATATTGGGTTTTTTGTGTACTTTTATGGGCATGGGCAGCTATTATTGTTATAACAATATATAATATACTTCCATCGAGTATTTTTATGTAATTTATTAATCAGTAACGATTTATTTTCTTTTGGTAATTTTTATGTAATTAATACAAAGTATGACATTTATATTTTGATATTATGTTTGAATAACAACTATGCTGATCAAATTTATAGTAAATAGTCATATAAAATCATTTTTGTTATTATTGTTATTTTTGTTTTGTTGTTGTTCTTCTTGTTTTTGTTGTTGTTCTTTTCACAACGAATGAAAAAATATGTATGGAGAACGTTTTCAAAACTTTAAGATTCAATTATGTATTTGAATATAGCTTTCATCGATCGTCAAAGTTGAATTATACTTTTTTTTCTTAGATTTGCTCTTTTATCATGTGTGAATTGATTGCAATTCCGAGAGAAATAAAAATAGCTTCTTTTCTTTTGTATATTTCAATACATCGATGTCTGAAACTACCAACTTCAAAAATTTTGGCGTCCAAAATGCTTTTTTTTTCGATAATTAATCAATATCAACTTTTTATCACTGGCGTTTGCTTATGAGAAAAAAAACCAGCCAAAAATAGTCTGCAAAAGTTGTGCTTGTTGTAATTTCAGCGAATCAATCATTTGTTTTATTGATTATATTGGAAGATAAAGAATTACAAAACGAAAAAACTAAGCTATTTCAATATAATACCATGTTGACCAACTCAAGTCTAATAGGATCAATATTTTTCAAAAATGTTCTTTCGATGAGTCCTAAAAAGTTCATTTGATAAAAATCTATCGCATGTCAAAATTCATCACCAGACAGCATCAAACTGAACAATATGATATCATATGGAAATAACTTGTTTTATTCAGTTTTCAATTCTCTATTTTGTAGTATGATATATATTAAAAATCCGAATGATTTGCTGATATACAAACGAGCACATGGTTTACAGGGTATTTTCTTGCTGTTTTTTTTTCTCATAAGCATATGATAGTGATAAAAAGTTGGTATTGACTAACTTTTGAAAAAAAAGATATTCGGCACCAAGATTTTTAGAGTGATGGTTTCAGACACCGATGCATGGAGTACATACTCGATGATCTCAAGATTGCTTTCGTAATATTTATTAAAGTCCGCTGCTTTTCTCTCAAGTAAACACTCTGGTACTTATGATAGAAGACCTATGTATTCTAATATGTCTCAGCATATGAAAGTATAACTGTAACAATCAGTTTTATCACATTCGTTTAAAATGATGGTTATAAAGAACATGAGTAGAACTGTTTGCTAATAAACACTACTCATATGAAAGTTTTTCCGCATTCAATAAAATCTACTATGAAAACGACTATGATTACTAATCTCTTTTTAAAGTTCGATGAAATTTCACTATTTAAAGATATAGTCTGTTCATGTATAGTCGTTCGTTGAGATAATGCAAAAGATACTCCGGAATTGCACACTTGTGAAGAAATATGAACATGATGGACAAGTACTGTGAATTTAGGCTATATAATGCAACAACGAACTTTTACTCTCATTAGAATACAGAATCGGAAGACGTGAACGAGATCTGGAGATTCCGATTGCTTTCTTCGATCAAATGATGCACGCAAAGCAAATGAATGAAAATAGTTTTTACTTCGCGAAACTTTATAATTTCTGGTTATATAGTAGCGTAGGTTTGCATATGCGATCGATTTTTCATGTTCTTATTTTTGAAATCATAAAGAATAGCTTAAATTTTAAGTTTTCAGTGATCTCTAATAGTTAATACCTAAATTATGAATTTGAAAACTTCAGAAGCTTTCATGAAATATGCTTATTTTTCTACGACTTTTCGTATCAATCACTATTTGACTGTGAAGTTCCTTCAAAAAACATTAAAACTTCACATATATTTTCATGTGCAAACCTTTTCAACTCATCGTCTAAGTTGAACGATACGATCTAAATATGAGCATTGACGATGCCATATAACTGTCTGCAGAATTACAAGAAAATACGGTTCGTTTAGATGACATGCTACACTGTAAACAGCCGTATACGGCAGAGGCACGATGAAAATATAGATGGTGTATCAGTTAACATCAGTATCATCAATGATACAAGTATTCATTCATATATACTTTCAAGATCGCATTTAAATAATATGTTTCTTGCTGAAAATCAAGAAAAAAAACTTGACAGAATATTTAATTATTATTTTTGTGAATTCTAATAAAAATGATCTCCCGATGAACGCAACTGTTCTAGAACAAGTTCGAAAATTCTCTTTCACCTTTAAATGACGGAATACTATTCTTGAGGTTATCCGGTACAGTAATTAGATGTGGTTTGTCACCGCATATCACATGACAATATAATCGTATAATGCCATATAAAGAAACGACATTTATTTATATCGCACAACATCAATCAATATTTCAGACTCATAGTTCAAAAAACCTACTAGATATCATAGTTAATTTCATACTTTTATTTTTATATAAATAATTAATTATTGAATTGACTTAAAATCATCGAATTGATCGTTAAAAAGTTATACATATGAGAAATTTTAGTAATGCACAAAAAACCGAATGTTTTATTTGAATAAGAATATTTATCGGAAGAAATGTTCTAGAAATTGAAAAGTGTTTTTTTGACATATGTTATATAATTTATGATGATGCGAACAAAGAATGTAGATTTATTGTTCGAGTTGATATCACATGACTGGAGTGCTGAACAAATACAAATATATATATATATATAGCTAGATATCAGCAGTTTACATCCTTATCTATCATAAAAGTTTCTTTTGATAAGCTATGTTATTGTCCTGTAAAATTCAAAATATACAATCTTACAAAACAACAATTTTATGATAAAACTGAAAATAATTTATATATATAATTCGTAAAGATTTTTAGTTTAAATTTGTAATCATTATGGTTCACATACATCATAAATTGTTTAATAGATGAAGATTCTATTAGTTTATTTATCAAAATAATAACTTTTATAAAATTAAAATATGAAAATTTGAATGATACAACTACTTTGTCGTCTAAATAAGATCGAAAATATCATAAGAAAAAAAGCTTCATCATATTTCTAAACTAAGAAATTTTAGAAAACATATTTTTCTCTAAATTTGTTATTTCAAAATAAAAATTGATTACTACATCTAGAACATTCGAGTATAAACTTCGATGAAATGAACTCTTTTATAGATAAATTCAAATGTTTATTATTACCAATATCTATCAATTAATGCTATTCTTTTATGTCTATACATCATTTACACTATGAGAAAAGGTCAATGCTCGATTTCTTTTCTTCTGTTTTATTTTTTTTTTCTACTTTGCCATATCATTGTGATGGTATAGAAGACTCCATATTTAACATTGTGTTACTTGATTCGTTCTTTTTCTATACTATAGGTTTTTTTTTCTTTGCGTTCTATACTGAGTTTATTAACTGCGTAGAATCGATACGTAATCATGGGCCTTCTCTTTCTTTCGAGTCGAGCATGCAGGCTGTATGAGGGCCAAACTCGAAGGAAAGAAAAAACCTTCGCTTCTTTTTTCTCTTTACTCTTCTCTTTCTATATAAACGCATATACGCATCGATTTGGGTAGTTAGTCAGTTGGTCGATTTGTTTTGCAGCAGCAGTGACTGTTCGTTACAAGTCGTGTCTAGTAAGCGCCATCAATTCTCAACACTTTATTTCAATATTAAATAAAAAAAACAAAACAAATATCAAATCATGTCAATGGAACATAAAAATGATACTCAATTACAAAGTGGTCAACCAGATCGTCAAAAAGCTCCAGTAGCAGCCAATCAACCACGAGAAAATCTTGTTCGATTGTATGAATCTATTTTAAATTTAAAAAAAAAAAACAATTTCAAATCTATTCATATTTTCATTTTAGTAATTATCATGAAGATAATGAAGGTTTAATTAATCGACAAATTAATTTAGAATTATATGCAAGTTATGTTTATACGGCAATGGCACATCATTTCGATCGACATGATGTTGCATTAAAAGGTAAAATTTTGTTTTCATTTGAAAGAATTTATTCGTTTTGTTTTTTCTAGGTCATCATAAATTTTTCAAAAAAATGGCTGAAGAAGAACATGAACATGCAAATAAATTTATGGAATATCAAAATAAACGTGGTGGTACAATTGTTCTTTTGGATATTAAAGTATATTTTTTTTTTTATTAATTTTATTAATTATAAATAATCATTATTTAAATAGAAACCGGTACAACAAAGCTGGAGCTCACCTCTTGAAGCACATGAAACAGCATTACAATTGGAAAAAGATGTTTATCAAGCATTACTTGAATTACATGCATTTGCTTGTAAACATAAGTAAGATTATATTATTTATTTATGATTATTATTATTATTATTATTTAATTTATTTAGTGATCCACATTTGTCTGATTATCTTGAAGAAGAATTTATTGAAGAACAGGTAATTAAATATTTGATATTCTTCTTTTGTTTTTTTTTTATAAATTTATCTTTTTTATTTCAAGGTTAAATCAATCAAAGAATATGCTGGTTATATAACTAACTTACGTCGTGTTGGTCCTGGTCTTGGTGAATACATTTTTGATAAAGAAGAACTTGATGATTAAGTCTCTTCCAAAAATCAATACGAACATTTTTTTTCTCCTTTTGATTCTACATATTTACATCATTTAAACAAAGCAAAAAAAAAAGCATTAACTAAGTTTTTCATCATATATAACTAATTGTGTTTGTGTTAATCGTTTGGTTGCTTAATACATATACAGTTTGTTTTTCGCTATCGTTTGAATATATGTTCACATATTTAAAAAAATAACAACAAAATTTTCTTCAAGATTAATATAAATATATATTTCATTGGAATATAGACGTACAGATTAGTTTGCTAAATCATTCTCATGTATATGTACATATGTGTGTGTGAGTGTGTTTCGGATGATTACACACAAGGTTTAAAGACCAAGACCAAGAACAAGAATCTTTCAAATAGCCATTATTTAAAATATTATTATTGTAAAAAGAACATG